AAAAGAAAGAGGAGGAAATAAAAAAATTGAACGAAAAATTGGCCCAAGAAAACCCTCAATTATATCGCCAAAAAGCGATTAATGTTCTAACCAAAAAAATGGAAAAATGGGAAATTGACGAAAATGAATTGAGTGTTGAGTTAAAAGAGGAATGAGATAAGTTAAAAAGTGGGGAAAATATAAACACCACACAAGTTGACGAAATTAACCAAAAATTAACTCAATTTGTTGGTTCAACCGGAGCCGAAAAAAGTTTGACTAAATTACTAACTCAAGCCCAAGCGGCCTTAAAATCAGGTCAAAAAACCGAAATAGAGAAAGTCAAAAATGATTTATTGGATTTTTTGAAAAGTACGAATGTTTATGAAAAAAATGTTGCTTCAGTTAGAGAGTCTGATATCGAAAAAATGATTAAAGATTTAGAAAATTATTCTAGTCAAAAAACAGGCTCACCGTCCAAACAAGGCTTTCCTTGAGAAGTGGTGGTTCCAATTTTTTTGCTAGTAGTTTTAGTTGGGGCGGCATTAGTAGTGGTTAGAAATAGAAAAGCAAGAAAGAAAAATAGATAAGATTACATACAGAGATTTGAAAATTACTATTTTTAAAGAATAACGGCAGGCAAATCAAATTTCGCGTCCGAGCCTACAAATTAATCAAAAAATATAATTATGGAAATAATACAACAAAAAACTAATGAACTTCTCCAAGAGGAAATTAGGCGAGCAATAAGAGAAAAATTAAGTCGGTTTACCTTTCCTTGCCCGCATTGTCAGAAACATATCAAGGACGAGGATTTTGGTAAAGAACAACAGGCTTTTCATTACATTAATGAAATGGTGCGAAAGGTCTTGGAAGAACAAATTATTCCTCAATGATATCGTCATCGAGCAGCAATAACTAAGGAGTTGGAAGAGCAAAAAATTTATGAGAATTTTTCGGCCGTAAAAGAATTAAAAACAACCCTTAGAGAATGCGAACAAAAAATAATTTATCTTCAATCTCCGGAACATATCGAAAATTCCATTCGGGTTAAGAAGTTGGAGGAAGAAAAAAAAGAAACTGCGGATAAGCACTGAAAAACTATTGAAAGTTTACAAAATCAAAACCAAGAATTGCAAAAACAGTTGACTGAAAAAAAAGAGCAAATTCAGAATTTAGTATTAAGACAAAAAGGACAGGGCAAGGGACAAGACCTAGAAAAATGGTTCTATGAGGAATTACTGAAAGTTTTTGACGGCCAGGATAGAATTACCGACATAAGCAAAGGGCAGATTGGTGCTG